GATGACTCGGATGACTCGGATGACTCGGATGATGATGATGATGATGATGACTCGGATGACGATGACTCGGGTGAATCGGATGACTCGGATGATGTTGATGATGATGATGTTGATGATGATGATGATGTTGATGATGATTATGATGATGATGATTATGATGATGACTCGGATGATGATGGTGATGATGATGGTGACTCGAATGATGATGACTCGGATGATGATGATGATGATGGTGATGATGATGATGACTCGGATCATGATGATGATGATGATGATGACTCGGATGATGATGACTCGGATGACTCTGATGATGATGATGATGTTGATGATGATGATGATTGTGGCTACTGAATGATGTACGAACATTCTAAAGAATTGTTTTGGGATCAAACGGAGACTAACTTGGTGGATTGAGAATTGCTTCCGCTGTGGTCAAGAGTCTACACCTTATTCTTTAGGGAAAATGGCTCGATCACAATAAACGTCCACCTTCCAAATTATACTGCTTCTCTTCTCAACGCAATCACCTTGTTTGACAACAGATGTCACCTCAAAATCTCGTACAGGAATTTTTCAGGTTGATTGAGCTTGAGATAAACTTCGCGATTAGACCTCAGTTCAGCCTCAATGAATTTGTTTGTGTTCTGGTAGCAAAGCCATGATTTATTAGTGTTATTTTTCGTTTCACTGGCACAAGGGGTGCAGACAGATTGTTTTAATTTCTTCTTCCTCTAGTAGGAACAATCAGTTTGGCTGTAATTAGTTAATCACTTTCAAGAGTCTGAGGAGATTCACACAGTCATCGGTGAAACACAGACTATGCCCAACACGTTGCTGCTGAGATGTAAAACGATCTGCCGTCCGCTGGACGATGTATTTCTCCAGCCTATTTAGGAGGAGAAGGTACATCCGCAACGAGAAGACCCCATTGCCACCCAACCGGTTCAGAGATGATTTTTGTCATTGAATTTTAAATATCTAGTGTTTATGTGTGAGTAGCACCGTGTTCTCATCTACGTCATCAAGTTCCTTGTCAGTCTCTCCCGCCAGACTGACAAGCGTTTGGTATGACAAGCTGATTGTTCCGCTCCACATATGAATTCTCTCACCAACTACGAAACTAGCTTCACGAAACCATTCGGTTTTACACTGTCTAGTCTGGTAAACAAACGGTCGTTTTTATTATACTGTATGTTTCTTTGGATGGAATATGTTGTGTGATTTTTAGTTAGACCGGATTTTCGACGAGCAGCTGACCGTTGTCTGATAGAACGGATCGGCCGAGCCATGCGCATCCTGACGGCCGTAGCATGGCATGAATAGTTCGTGTATCGTATGGTGGCGAGCACCAATGTCTTAATGATCAATTCTCACTGGTTCCGCATTGGTGGATGGTGCTATCCAATTTTAAATGTGCTCAAACGTTTATTCGAAGCTACCTGGTTTCCTGACCCGCATTCACTAGCACAGCCATGTCGGCTGAACGTGTTGCGTGTATGACAGCAATCAATCTCGCGAACATCCATGGAAAATTTCTATTTCTATGCTCATGCGCAATGATGTTTGTGCTGCTGTATTCCATCAAAGGAAAGATGTTCAATATGTGGGAGGATTTGACATTCACAAATAACATGCAACATACTGAATGTCCCTTGTTAACCCTGAACTCTACCGTATCATACAAATACATTGTTCGACCGGAGGAAAGAGAATTCCCGCTCGCATTCAGTTTGATCGTTTATACCGATGCTGACCGGGTGCTCCGGCTGTTTCGTGCTATCTACCGTCCACACAATTACTATTGTATTCACATCGATCGGAAAAGCAAACCGGAATTCGTGAACGTTACTGAACGGCTAAAACAATGTCCCGGAGTGTCGCACAATGTGTTCTTTGTTGAG